GGCGTGGCAGGATCCAATATATGACTTATCATGACTTTTTTCATTAATATTACGTGGGTGATTTTCTTATACTTTATTCTTCTGAAAGAAGAAATTATTGTCTGGCACTGCTAGAGTCAGCTATTGAATGGCTGAAGAAATTAAGAGTATCTTTATCTTCTCTCAAAAATCATAAAGTGAGAATTAGTAAGGCACCCAATTCTAAGATTCATCCAGATTTTTTATTTTGATTTCTCATTCTCTCTAGGGAGTGCTGGGGGCTCAAGGGGGCATTCTTCATTTTAGCTTTTACCTGAGAACCAAACTTGCCTTTACCCCTTGTACCTAGAATTGGTGCTCTGGGAATGTTGCTGTGACCCATCAACGTCGGGGCCACCTTCCTAATGGTAAACACGGCCTAAACAGGGAGAGCAGATGAGAGAGTATGCAATTCTGTTTCCAGATGTTTCTTTATGTAAATACGACGCCAATGTAAATCCTGTGTCAAGATATAGAGAATGGTGCTTTTTACTACAGTTAGCACATGCATTTTTAGAATGACTACATGTTTTAGAGAATCTTTGCTGTGTATATGTAAACTTCTGTATTGTTCAACCATTTAACAAATAATAAATTATTTCATTATTAAATGAATCTCCGTCTTTCCTGATGTTTTGTACTCCAGTTTAACCTCTCTCGTGGTTTTTACTTACAAAACCGAGTTAATCCATTTTATTTTCTTTTAATTTTGTGGAAAATTCACTGGCTAAAAGTTTTAAGCCCTTAGGTCTTGTGATAAGGGTTTCCATTGTGTGGCCCCGGTTGAGCCCATTTTTTTAATCAGAATTAGTAAAAGTCTACGGCCATGCTACCCTGAGCAAGCTTGACCCGTCTGATCTCGGAAGCTAAGCAGGGTGGGGCCTGGTTAGTACTCAGATGGGAGGCCACCTAGGAAGACCAGGTGCTGTAGGCGTAAAAAAATAAAAAAATAAGGGATTGTAAGCTGACAAGGTCCTTGCAATCTGTGTGGTCAACCAAGGGTTGCCACGCCTAAAAAATAAAAAAATAAAAAAGAATTAGTAAGAGCGCCGGCTGCTCCGCTTACCCATTTCGCCTGCCTTCGTACTTGCTCTTGGCTCTCTCTTCATTGAGACACCTCTGATGCAGGCGGCATGCTGGGATTGCACGACAAACAAGACTTCCTCATCTCTCCAGTAGCCCATGGCTGGTGGGAAAGATAATGCCGGTGTAGTTAGTTGTGGAATAAAGTTGTACGTGGATGTGCTATGAGAAATCACCGAGGTGGTGGCATTCAAGTTGGGCCCTGGAGAAAGAGTGGATGTTTGCTAGAAAAGGCGCCTTGCAAGGAAAGAGGACATCCATTGCAATGAGGCAGGTGTTTGGGGAAGGGAATAACTCCATGGGGCTCAGTTATGGCCTGGAGGCTGGGAGCACATGGCAGGTGATGGGACACGTGCAGGGAGGATACCATACTGTGAAAGACCTCATGTATTGCACAAGTCACTGAGAGGAGGAAGGGCACCTGGTTTAGGTTAGTGCTTTTACATATTAACCCATTTGGTAAGTTTACATTTATTCATTCTTTTAACAAATAGGAATTGCACACCTGCTCTGTGTTTCGCTCTGTCACAGAGCTGAAGACACACCAATGAACAAAACACAAAACCCTGCCCCCTGGAGCTGCCTTTCTAGTGTGACTGCCTTTGGAGCTCCAGTTCTTGGACTGGCAAGCTTGCTGAGCTGAGTGTACCGTCCTGACCAGCTTCTCGCTCTCCCTGCAAGAGAGCATTTGTTCAGAGTCAAGAGGAAGGAAAAGTGTCTTTCTCCTTGACTAGTTATTTCTTACTCTAAAAACCTAAAATTTTTGAAAGTTTTTTATGTTGCCCTCAGAGTTAACCATGATGGCATGCAGTCTGCAGTCAGCCCGGCACGCTGCCCCTGCTTTCTCCAAAAAACAGGGGCCGCGTGCTGGGCCTGTCTAGGATGTGTGATTCTGGGATCCATCTCTCTGGACAGGCTTTAAATTGAACCCACCAAAAAGTGGATTGTCAGCAGCACTGACGAAAGCTATGTTCTACCACAGTGTCAGGGTCCCTGTTTACTGTGGCTGAGGAGAGGAAGCTTTGACCTGCAGATAACTATGAAGACAGCTCTCACATAGAGATAGCCTCCCCCACAAGATGACAAATCTTATTTCCGAGGTTTCCTGACTTTGTTTGTCCACAGTAGCCTGATGAAAATTGTCCTTTGTTATGCCGTGTGAGTCCATGTCACAATAATGGTCACCTCACATGTACTGAGTGCTTACTAAGCACTGAGTGCTCTGCTATGTTGCCTCCTGTTGCCTCCATGACCTCTCTCATTGGCCCTGGGGGGTGAGTGCCGTCATGATCCCCACGCCACAGATGAGGAAGCAGGGAGAGACAAGGCATTCTGTTCCACGTCCACAGAGCTAGTGAGCTGACTCCAGAGCCCCACTCCCTTGCCTCCATTTTTACAAGAGCTGTGTCCAACTGTAATCAATTTTCCACGTAAAGCAACTCTTCTTTTTAAATCTCGGAATGCAGCTACCCATTTTCCGTGGAGGTGCCTTAGGTGCAGAAATTGAGAATGCACAAGACTGTTGTGGATCATCCCTGCCAAGTTGCCGCGCTCCCCTCCATCTTTACTTCCCTTTCCACCTGTCATGAGGAGTAACATCAACTCCTGAACCACCTGGGGGTCTTGTGGCAATCACCCAGCATGCTGCTGGAGGAAGACATCCCATCCAGGACTTGAAGATATTCTTTCTATACCATCTTTTTGGTTGTGAACCCCATGACATCATTTTACTTTTTCAATGTATTCAGTATTTACTAAACACAACTTCCTCCTAGGCCTTGGATTCCCCGTTATCAAGTGCCACCTTGGTCGACCTCTTAAACGTCACTGTGACCTAGACAAGGAAGGACTTACCAAAGCTCTCTGCCAAGAGACTCCAGACTATCAGCTCCTTGTTCTCATTGCTCTCTTGGGCCTTCCCATTAGTTAGGGACATTCAGCTCCCAGTGGCTGAGGCCCCCACGGGCAAGGGCTCCACAGGAAGCATTGTTCAGGGCTTGGCACTGATTGGATGGAAGCTCTCTGCCCACTCAGTCCCACGGGGAATTTCTGGAATGTTCTTGTGAGACCAGACAAGGTAGATGGGTCTGCTGACTGCTGACTAGGGGTGACCATAGTGCCCAGAGGAAAAGGAAGCTGAATGTAGGGAGAGAGAGACTCTTTTCTGCAGAATGGAGGGCAGGCTCTGCCAGGCTGCAGCGTCTGGGGGCCTCCCTCCATGTGCATGAAGGCAGCATCTCTGATGCAGACAGGCTCAGGGTTTAGTGGGACAACTGAGGCAAGAGCCAGCACGGAAGCAGAGGGCGTGGCCTCAAGGTCAGGACAGAACTGGGGGTCTGGAGAG